GTGGGGATCTGGCTGCGTCTGGCAGCCGTTGCCTTTGCCGCTGAAACCCCTGCCCGCGTGGCTTAGAAATTAAATCCATTCCTTATTGCGTGGTGGAGTGATTTTCGTGTGAGGCCGGGGGGCCTGGTGCCGTTACTCCAAGACAAAGCCCCGCTTCCCTGCCTCAGACCAACACCGCGGCTCAGCTCTTGAGTTTCCTCACCCCTGTTCGGTGATGACCAACTTAACGCCCTGGAGTAATGCCCACTGTGTGGTTTGATTAGTTTCTGTATTTTCTTGAATTATTTTTAATCAAAACCTGCCTGGAAAGCCCGTGCTGGGGTGTTACGGCTGGCAGAGCGGCACTGGGCCTCTCGCTCCGGGGGGGGGGCATGGGGCACGTTGACTGAAGGGCCGTTCTGCCCTAAACCCTCTGGGGGTGCTGGAAATGTCTCCCAGGATGGGTGTTTCCATGGTCTAGTGTTGCACAGTTTCAGCTGAATACCATGCCACTACAGTCAGTTTAATTTCTGGATTTTAAACACACTCCTACATTGCTCAAGTGAGTCAAACGCACAGCAAGAAAATAGGAAAACTATTTTTAAAGTGTCAGTAATGGAATGAATAGGCTTGCCAGCAGTTACATGAATCCCTCACAATATTAGTTAAGAGGTGATGAAATTGAGAACGTGTGAGTGAACCGGCCATTGTCTAAAGAGTAGCAAAAATAGAGATGTAGGGAATTTATAAAGTGCAGGGTAGCAGCGGCAGTGTGGGCAGGCGGTGGCGCTGCATCCTGGGAAATCCAGCCTGGCTGCAAGGGACTTCGGGTTTAGATGCAAGACTTGGGAAGGGGGGGAAAAAAAATGCAGGAATAATCAGGATTCTATGTGAAGGAGCTGTCACTAGATTCGTGCTCCTGATATGAAGCAGGACTGAAACAGGACATCAGAAGAAATCATTTAAATGAAAGCAAAATTTAAATAAATTGCAGCAAAATGTTGGGACTTCCAGTTAGCTGTGAGTTAAAATAAAAAGGTCATGTCAAGACTACGCTCCTGACTGTGGAACTCCTCAGACCAGAAGGAGATATGAATGTATCTTACCCTGCTAGATCAGGTTTTAGGAACATCTGGATTAGTCTCTCATTTTCACCTCACATGCTCCCTGGTATTTTATAGAAACCAAGACATGAGACACAACGTGCCAGTAACTGTGATTCCATATGTGTGGACCCTTTTCCGCAAGTCAGCAGTAGTTTATAAAGAAGAAAGTTTAATTGCCAAGATATTGTCTTGTTTCAACAGCAAACTAGAGCTTCACCTGCAATCCTAACACTACCCATATTTTTTCAGTGCATCACCTATCTTCCACCATTTACCCTTGCAGGCAACAAAGAAACTAATTAATTAATTAATTGTAGTGTTGTATCTTACAGTGTGAAGTGACCAGGAAGGCTGAAGTCATGTAGCTCGCTCTTGGTTGCTCTCAGGTTCCTATTAAATGATGTGCATTATTTTTTTGTAGCTGTAACAATTCTTAATTAAAAACTTGGGAGCATTTCCCTGTGCCAGCAGGAGCTCAGAGGGGCCCGTAACTTTGGCAAGGCTGATCTGTCCAGGCGGTGTCTTTTCTGTGTCCATCATTGAAGGGCACATCCTGCTTGTCTCACCAACCACCACCAGATGCTGGTGTCTGTGAACTGGAGTGTGATTTAAAATGGTGACTTGACTCTGACTGTCTCTTATTTTACTGCCAGGCCCCCGGATGAACATTTTTTAACATATATTAGAGATTTATCCTGACCAATGTCAGCAGTGCTCAACGAAAGCCAGGGAAATAGTTACGATGGCCCAAGGCATTAAGAGGCTTTGGAGCATGGGAAATAACAAACAAAATGATTGCAAAGGAGAAATATTTTATATCTAATTATTATATATCCATATTTCTTACTGGCTAATAATGTACCAGTTGTTTCTCTACCAAAGAAGCTGTAATACATCAGATACCTGGTTTGCACTGTATTGTATGGATAAAACCTTCATTTCATGTTGAGATAAATAGAAATGGTCTGTAGTGTGCAGCATGAAGTCCGACTGTACATGGTATTCAGGTACTGCAAGGTAGAGGAGTAAAGTATAGGTTGAGTAGTAATAAGATGGCAAGGTAATGCAGAAGGAGAGCGTATCCCGCTGAATACTGCAAGCTGGATCTAGCAGCAGGAGAGAAAATATATGAAACTTTAGATCATCTGCCCCCTGTGAGGAGAGGGGAAATTTAAAGTTACTGTGTGCTCTTAAACACAAGCTTATTTCCTGAGACCCTTGCTCAGAGGGAGTTGTTGATAAGGACAAATTGTTACTATCTTGTGATAACAAGTGAACAAGAATGTGTATTCTGTCTAGGAGAACTGTACCTCTGTTAGACTGTGCTGGGAAAAAATATCAATGATTTTTTTTTCTGAATCATCTTCCAGTGTCGTCGTGGTGATGGCATTTGTAGGCAGGACAGAACAAAGTGTGCTCTCCCACACAGGAGGGAATTTGGCAGGGTATTGGTATACAGGTACATTTATCGGCACAGTATCACGTACCTTCAAGAGAGACTTCAATTCCAACCTCACAGTATTTTGGCCTTGTAAGAGCCCTGATCTGACTCCTAATGTAATGTCCCTGTACTTTTATTAGTTAAATTCAGGATATCAAGTATAACAGAGGTGCTAGTCTAATTTTATGGGAATAGGGAAGGACACTGTTTGATGGTACAGTACTTACTCATCTCTCAGGCCAACAACTTCACTCTCATTTACCCTAAATCATAACTTACTGGGTCATTACACCATGACATGGTTAACCTGATGTTTGTGTGTGCAAATACACACCTTCCCATGATGTGCATAGGAAACCGTCATATCCAAGGATCAGGCCGGTAATAAAGCAGTTTTACGGATGCAGACCACTGATGGGTAACGTACTGGAGTATCACTCCAGAGATCGGCCTGTTTCCCTGAACTGTGCTAGCAGGTACTCTGCATGCATTTGCAGGCATATTCTCACTGAAAACCGAATTCTAAGAATTACACTTTCCCAGACAGTAAACTGAACAGTATGAGTTTCACATCACGATAACGTGCCGATCCAAGCAACTCATACTGAAGGTGAACTGTACTGCCAACTCGTGGTATATAGAATTCTTGAGTTAGACATGCGAACACATCAAGCTTATGAGTTTAATAAGTAACATTTCTCTTAAATAATAAATTTGACTTCTAGTAAGCTTTTTGGTTACTGAGTCTGGATCAAAATTTCTAGCTTTTATCATAAGGACAATAAATTTATTCTTTTCTATATTTTTCTTTTTTAAAGATAGCCAAGACAAGGAAAATGTTACGTAGCATGTAATTTGCAAAAAGAACATACAATCTTTTTTAGATATCATATAAAACTGTCCTCCTGCCAGTGGCAAAATAAGAATTATTTGCAGAAATACGTTAATGTACCATTTTGAAAAAGAACACATTCTTCAAGCTATTATTAAAAAAAAAGTTACTCATTAAGAACTATCCATCTGTGTCTGAAGTTAATAGTTCCTTTTGCAATGATGGTGGGTATCTTTTGTCAGTTGTACTTTCACAAATCAATAAGAAAGCAATGCTTTATAAAATGAAAAGTCAGAAGAAAACATATCTAGTAAACAGACTCCACTTGGAAAATGTCAGTGGTGGTGTTATGCTTCAGACTGGGTTCAAATCTGTATACATCAACCTATGCTTCCAGCGTTTATGTTAGACCACTGAAGATTTGTGGCTGACCTACATATGCAAACAAAACATTTGCTGCATACTTGGGGTGGGGGGATTTGCATGATAGATGATGATGAAAATATGCATAATTGTGGATGACATTTTTGATTCCCAAGTCCTGCTGCACAGAACTTTGGAACTGGCCATGCATGA